AGGCCCTCCCTCGGGGAGCCGCCAGCCGGCATTGTCCTGTCGACGGCACCCGGAGGAGGCCCAACCTGTGCGATCTTATTGGTTATTGGCAGGAGGCGGTCTCTCAGGTAGCCAGGTCCAATACCATGTAGGGCTTTAAAAGTAATGACTAGCACCTTTAAGCGGGTCCGGAGACCAATGGGAAGCCAGTGTAGCTCGCGGAGGATAGCTGTAACATGGGTGTACCTCGGTACACCCATTATTGCTCGCGCGGCTGCATAATATTAAACAATGCATTTCCCAACCCAACCCCCAGGATCCCAAATAGAGTATGTGAACAAGTTCCCTTATGATGGGAACCTTCTGCCTTTCTCTTCACACCTTGTTAATATGTCCTTGAAAAGTTTCCACATTTTCACAAGCCTTCTGTGGGACTGCAGGAGTTTCATTTCTCCAACTAACCCATTTATAATCAACACCTCCCCCACTTTCTATAATGACAAGTTGAAATGAATGAGGCACATAACTGCCAATGTTTCACTCTTGACAAAGGCATTTCTACAAGACCATGCTTGTGGATCTTTTTCTGCTACAAATTGTCCCAAGATTAAGTGATTAGAAGCACGAAACATGTGGCCAACAGACATAAAATTGGAGACAATGAAATGTCTTCTGCCTCTCCTGTAATTCATAGCAGGAGGAAGTGGGTGAAGATTCCCCCTTGGCCATTACACAAAGTTGATCGGGAAGAGGTTATCCAGTTAAGATTAGCTGTGCAAGCCAGAGCAATCTGAGTGTGTGCGCATGAATGCACATCTTTGAGTCAGTGTTGATTCTTGGCAGTTGTGTGGACCAAGTCTTGCCAAGTTCTTGGCAAGATTTCAGAAGTGCTTTGCCACTGCTTCCTTCCCAGGTCTCCGAGAGAGTGCCTGGCCCAAGGACACGCAGATGGCCTTGTGCCTAAAGCAGGATGAGAGCTTTTGGATTCCCAGTTTCTAGCCTGGTGCCTTAATCACTGCACGAACCCGGTTCTCTACTAATCAGAAAGTTGAATCTTTTTTTTTCTGAAAAAAAAATTGGTAGGCTTCTGAGGTCACTGTTTTCCATTTGTGCATGAAACTAAATTCCTAAGTGTTTTAAGCTTTAATATGTATATAGATTGGGAGGGGGAAACTCTCCCAAAGGAAGTGGGAAGAAATAGGTTAAATTTCCCCCTAGAGTGGTGTTGCTGAACCTTGGCAACTTGGGAATGTATGGACTTCTCAGAACTGAAGAGAGTTGAATCCACACCTCTTAGACTTCTCAAGGTTGAGAAACATTGACCTCCAGCACCATGCCCACTATAACCCTCAGTGAGAAACAATAATAATAACAACAGTAATAATACATTATAACATGCACATTATACAAGGAGGTCTCTCAACCTCCTTGTATTTTCGAACCTTCTGATAAGATAGGGAGCCCAAGGACTAGCAATAGGACTTAGACTGCTTTACAGTGCTTTACAGCCCTCTCTAAGTGGTTTAGAGAGTCAACCAATTTTCCCCAACAATCTGGGTCCTGATTTTACTGAACTTGGAAGGATAGAAGGCTGAGTTCACCTTGAGCTTGGTAGGATTTGAATTGCCAAACTGCAGGCAGCCGGCAGGCAGCAGAAGTAGACTGCAGAACTGCACTCTAACCACTGTGCCACAGAGGAATACTTACTTGGTTTCTCTTCTGGTTCCAGCCTGGGTCTCTCAGGTTTCCTTTGCGGTGGTTTTTTGGGTTTTTTCTCACGCCGTACAAATTGATCTGTACGAAGAAAAAGGAGACTGTGAGATTGCAAGGAAGGAGATTCCATCCATGCATTTCACCCTACATCCTATTTTGTCTTCTTAAAGCTATGAAAGGTCTCAGTGGTTTGTTTATTTATTTGTATCCTGCCTTTATTATTTTTATAAATAAGTCAAGGTGGCAAACATATCCAAACACCGCTTCCTTCCCCTATTTTCCTTACAACAACCATCTTGGGCAGTGGGTTGGGCTGAATGACTGACTCAAGATCACCCAGCTCCCTTTCATGTCTAAGATGGAACTAAAACTCATAGTCTCCTGTTCTGACCCCCTCCTCCGTCCAGTAATGAATGCTGAGACAAGCTTAACTGGAATG